AAATCAATACTTGCATTGAACAACCCTGTGAGTAGTGCAAAAATCCTCTCTTGCAGTTTAAACCCTGAATCACAGTTCAGTGGCACTGAAACACTAATACTGAAAATCTACAGAGATGCACGACACCCAGCCTCACCGCATACACTGAAGTTCAAATTTACAAAGCCACAGTTTGAGCACCACCAGAGATTAAATCAAACAAACTGTGGCTAAAAATGGGGCTACAGTCTTCCTCACGGAGGAGAGGTCGAACCGTTCATCTTCCATCAAGTATGACCTCGGAAAAACAAAAGAAAACAGCATGAAAATGTCACAAACAACAGAAGCTTTACATTTAAATCAGGTGTCCGTGTGCAAAGTTCCCTCTTGCGATAGAAGCAGATAAATCAATGTAATCCAGTCAGTGGTGATGGATCCAATGGTCCTCTGTTCTTCAGAGTGGCAGCTTTGTTTCAACAGGGTCAGAAACAAACTTTTTTTAACCCACCCACAATGGCTTCAAACAACGATTTCACCAGCTTAACATTATTTTGGAAGAAAAACAAAGTTCCAAACAAATGATATCCAGGTACCTGCTTCTCCTTCAGATCTTTGTGTAAAAATCTATATAAAACTGATCTAAGTTCACACCTGTCATTTCTAAAAATGCATCTTGGGCGGCCACTTGTGTTTCAGCTTCACATTGGAATTTGATTTAAATCAGTGTGTAGAGTTTAACTGCTTTTAAAATACAGTTCAGGCTCAACAGCTATTGAGCCACATAGGAAGTCTAGAGTTTTACAGATAAATTAAAGGTTCTCTGTGGAGATTTGACCACCAGTGGTGCTATAGAGTAAAGTTTTGATGAACAGGTCCAGTTGTCTTTATCTCATGCTCTACTTGTAATGCAAAATTGTAGTTCATTTAAACCAAACTTTACCACTGATTTGGTGAAAAACTTAACTGTTTCCGACACAGTTCACAGGCACCTTTTAAAATGTTTGAATGTCATCATGTCCACCAGTGTTTTGTTGAGTTATCAAGGCTGGAACACCCTATTTCTTAAACCCCCCCCACCTGAAGTGGCAGCAGAAACGGAGAAGCATCACAGCACTGACATTGTTTTCATATTGTTGTTGATAAAGATATTGACTGCAGCCATTTAAAAGGAATCAAGGTGCCAGGACGGGAGCAATTAACACTTCACTTTCCTGCTGATATGTGGTTGGACCATATGTTCTGCAAGTACAGAGGGATCAATTTGATTTGTTTTTCCTGCCTTCTCACATAAAGGTATCTTTCTTTGCAAGGCTTTATATGCAAGTTGTCTTAGCAACATACACATTACACATTTATTATCTGGCAATTTTCCACCACATTTTGGCCATGGATACTTTCATATAATTCACTGCACTTAATGCCCAAAGGCAGGAACATTATAAGGGAGTAAACAACCCAGGTACAAAATCCTAAATAGGATGTCTGTGATGCCAAAGTTGACGGTTGTATGATCCATGTCTTGCCCTTTCCACAACAGTCAATTGTCAAACATAGCAAGCCAATTGTGTTGAAGTTCACTATTGTTTCAACTGATGGCGGTAGCAGATCCAGGACTTCTTCACTGCAATATCATACCAATCAACAACCATATTCATGGATATGTAGAAAAACATTGTTTGAAGCATCAATTGTATTTTTGGGGCATGCTTAACCTAATCTGTTGTTATCAGCAGTTGTTTATGTGCCAGTGACCATTCATTTAGATAGGTGTCTGGTCTTGCTGGCAGAGGAACTAGACTGTCCCAATTCGAAGGCAAAGATGGCTCCACTGGGAGGATCCTTCCCAGCTCAACATATTCTGACTCATTTGGCTTACGTGATTAACTGTTTTCAAAGAGGTAATGGCGGCAAAATGCAAGGTGAAAACATCAGAATTTATTTTTAAATACAAGTAAATAACTGTTTTAGTTGCATATTTTCAAAGTGTAGCTTTATTTAATAAACATAATGTTATGATTTTCAGAAACCCAAAGGGCAATTCCACACCTGTAACAGTGTTTCTGTGCATCAAAACTCACCAACTAAAATTCTGTATCCGTTAGGTTGCAACTAATAGACTGATATTGGTCTTTGCAACTGTTGTGAACATATTACCAGACCATATATGCCACATAAAGCTAACCAAGACGCATTTTATTTCCAGGTGTGAACTTGGCCGAGGACTCATCTGATGAGTAATTTCCCACCCTGTACTAGAATGACATCAATAATCTCCTGAGATCTCCCATTAATAATTTCCCCTGATAGAAAACACCACCATGACGGCATGGCACAAAACCGGAGCAGGACTATATCAACTATACAGCCAACACTATTACATTGTGATACCACTAAGCTGTATACATTACAGTGAAGTCTATTGCGTCTCCTGTTCTGTGAGAGGGGAGGAATAACGGCCAGGTCACATTTATAGGTTTGAAGAGGAAATACATCAAATTCATACGTTTTACAGTCACTGAACTCAGGTGAGGACAATAACATCCAGTGGACCAGTTGAAGAGTCGACAGGGCGAAGTACAACTGCCCTTGATTGTTTTTAGGAAAATATTTTATACCATAAGCAGCAGCTGAGCATGTTTGAAAGTGAGTCAGGTCCACGCCACTTTGCGTGAGATGGCCTGTTTAAAGCACTCAGGGTTGACGTTGCCCCCAGGCCGCAGCGCCCTCTCCAGGCTCACCAGCACATTCTGGTGACATTCCCTGATGTTGACCGGGTACTTGGCCCTCAGCAGCTCGTAGGCGGCAATCAGCCTCATGTTCTGCTTCACCATCAGGTACTGGATGATACACGTCGGTGCCAAGGAGAAGCCGTCCCGACAGTGGACCAGGACACGCTTCCTCTTCTCTGTGGAGGCGTCAATGCATTCGTTGATGTCCTCGAAGCAGCGCTGTTTCAGGGCCGGGCCGTCACCCAAAGCGTCCGGCACGTCTCCAATGTCTACCTTGAGGCGAGACCAGCTGTGACGGGCGCCGCGGGTGCAGGTGCAGGGTATGAGGCTGAGGCTGGGCCCCGGTTCTCCTGGCAAGCTGCTCATATCTATGATGCTGTCGATGTTGTTGCGGCACAGGGTGCGTCCATTGTATGCCGCATTCAGGTTGCCAACATAGATGTAGTCCGTCACCTTGGAGATGACGGGTTCAGAGTACTGGAAGTGTTCAGGGCCGCTGGGTTTAGGCTCAGGTGTGTCGGGGCCCCTGGCTCCTGCCGGACCCGTGGCAGCTCTCCTGCTGTAGTTGCGCAACTTCTTGGAACCAGAACGGGACGGCGGGTTGGAGTCAGACTCAGAACTGCTGTTCCAGGGTGGAGAGAAGAGAGAGAAGCGGCTGGAGGATTTGCTTTTGTTGAGGATCTCCACTGGACTGGACAGGCTGGAGCTGGATGCTGTGGTGGAAGCTGAGGCACAGAACAGGGATGCTCGCTCTAGAGAGCCTGTGCTGCTGGCAGCTCCTGCACTGTGGGCCTGCTCCATCTGCAACAAACACACACACCTGACATCTACTCAACTACAACAAAAAAGTTGAGTTCCTCAGGCTTTTCTAGTCCCTGAACTAGTCCTGACATTTTGATCGACCTCACTACAGAGGACATATCAAGTTGTCACATGAAAGAGAGTAATGCACACTTTTATCTTCATGTGCTTTGAATAAGATTTGGTCGAAGAAAAAAATGTAACTAAGATTTTGTGAATAACGTATTATGAGAAATATTTATAATCTAATGGGCGCAAAAAAGTCATATTAAGAGAATAAAGCTGTAATTGAATGAGAAAAGTCATATTACACAGAATTAAGTTATTTATTGAGAAAAAAGTTATAATATTACGAGACTAAAGTTAATCTGGCATGTAGCAGTTGCATGCTGTGTGATGTTTGAATGTACCTGAGCTTTGAGGTTATTCTTCCACTCCTGCGTCTCCAGAGCTTTGAAGCGGCCGCTGCTGTCGGAGGAGACCGACACGCAGAGGGGCCGGTGAGCTCTGGGGGGGAGCTGGGGGGTAAGGGCCACGGGGATGGGCCTCGCATCGGTGTGCTCGGTCCTACTCATCATCAGATTTGGACAGGAGCCTGAAACACAGGAGAAATATTAGAGCCAGGTATGTGGTTGTACTTTGTTGTCAGTGGGTCAGTGCCACTGATGAACCAGATTTTATGAAGCAACACTCTTTGACTCTTATTTGAAGAAAAACAGCTTTGACTGGAGCAAGACTATATCAACTATACAACCAATACTATTACATTGTGATACCACAGAGCTGTATATCACATTTATAGGTTTGAAGAGGAAATACATCAAATACATATACGTTTTACAGTCACTGAACTCAGGTGAGGACAATAACATCCAGTGGACCATTCGACTGCCCTTGATTGTTTTTAGGAAAATATTTTATACCATAAGCAGCAGCTGAGCATGTTGGAAAGTGAGTCAGGTCCACGCCACTTTGCGTGAGATGGCCCGTTTTAAAGCACTCAGGGTTGACGTTGCCCACAGGCTCGCAGCTCGGGAGTAAAAAGTAAATCTGCCTACTTGATTCATTTTTTAGACAATTTTGCCATCTCAACTGGACATTTAAGTTTATTCTTGTCTATTCTAATAGTGAGAAATCCATCCGCTCATGTTGACCGTTTTACTTTTAAGGAAATATTTTAACTAATTTATTCATACTGGGTGCTGCCTGAAGTTGAGTTTAGTTGCTGCATAAGACAACTTACAGGCGTTGGTGTATGCCATGTCCTAAAATTTTTTTAAAACAAGAATGAAATGTAATAATTATTTTTACTAGATGCGCTTGATATAAAAAACATTTAAAGAACAGTTACACCCTCCGTCACTAACCCCTCAAGTGAAGTTAAGCAGGTTAGAGGTGTGTTAAATTCTCACTACTATTAAAAGTTATGTAATATTGTGGTGTGGGCTCATACAGACAGATTTCTAGTATTTACTTTTGACTGTGCTAATCAGTTTATTGATTTTGCAATGTACTGACAGATGAAGTACCGTTTCATAAAGATGATTAGATGAATGTCTAAAGCTCAAAGTACATTGAGAACCTCAGCAGGTTTAGCTGCCAGTAGTATATTCTTGCTGATGCTAAGCTCTGTGTCTTCAATAAGACAAGCACGGTTACAACATAAATTTAGATTCATCATAATCAAGCAGCAGCAGCCCTGTTCATACCTCTGCCTGCACATAACAATCTAAAGCATCAGAGATAGCAGCATTTTCTAAATGCAGAGATGGAAATCAGACTATTTCCATGGAGGGTTTCACTTACTAGCACATTCTGAGCAGGTGATGGACTGAATCTGCAGCGTGTTTTGGGTTTTAAACAGACCGTGAAGAGTCCTGGCTATACCTGTGAACAAGAGGTCACCTTGTTGTCAACATAACAAACCCATGCGGCTGCTTGGAAGCGGTGACAGTGAGAATTTGCTTGCACAGAAGTAAAAAAAAACAAAAAAACACCGGCCTTACCGATCCCTCCATTCTGTTTGCGGAGCACTTTCTTATCCAGCAGCTTGTGCGCACTCAGATCTTTGTCCCACTCTTCCTCGGCTTCCATGTTCCGCCTCCTGCATACAGAGGCACAAAAACCGGGCTCAGGCGGCCCGTCATCTTTGGGAAGCCGGGCAACACTTCAGCTCCATGGGACGGACGTGACTTCAGCTGCGGGCGGCGTGGACGGACGCTGCTGCTAGCATCACCGGCTAAGTTAGCCGCTAGCAGCAGCCTGCTAGCTAGCTCACTGTCCTGCGGGTCTCATGTTAAAGGGCTGATGGAGACTCTGACCGTCGGTTATTCCTGCTCCCGAACCGCGGCAGACTAACGGGTGCACACCGGGGGACGGAGCGAACATGTGGACGCTTGCGCTAAAAAAAAAAAAAAAAAATGCTAAGCGTTAGCGAGCTAGCCGCTGCTGGTTAGCACCGCCGCTTGCTGCTCGTGTACGGGCGCTGCAGCTCATGACGCCCCGACTACAACTACATGTTGTGCGTGTCAGCGGCTAGCATGGCTGCGTGTCGGCGGATAACGTTGCTGACACCACCGTGGTGACAGTCTCCACGGAGCTCCGGTGACTAATTAGCTAGTGAGCAGCTCAGCTAGCCGAGCGGCTTCACCGCTCACAGAGCCAGGCAGCGGGTTGACCCCGAGTGCAGCCTTCCAGGTTGTTGAAACCCAATCTGACGACAGACAGTGTCGAGCAACCAGATGAGGTGATAAGTCGATGAAATGAGGTGAGAGGAGACGGGGGTGGGGGGG